ATCCCCCCCCCCTCCCCCCCACACCCTGCTTACTCTACCCAATACACTATGCCTATTCAAACCCCACCAACCCAGCCACCCCGCAAGCCTCAGCACCCACCCTACCAAGAAAGCTTTTGCCTAATTTCAAACAAGACCCCTCCCCATCTTCAAACGATACTTAGAATTCGGACCAGCCCCCACAACCACAATAGGTGTATTCAACAGCTATGGTATAGAAACGACCGCCAAGGACAAGCTATAGACAAAGAGACATTAAACGAGGGCTTAGGGTTTTAGCATCAAATACATGATAAGAACAGAGTCCCAGTAGATCAGGCTAACTTAAGCAGGGGTGAAGGGTGGTACATCCTTCCTTCAGGAAGTAATCAATGCTGTCCTTCGGGCCTCCACACCATGAGGAAAAGGAGTGTGAGTGAGTACTTGTTGTAATCCTTTCCGACTTGCCGGTGGAATAGGAACCGGACTGATGCTCCCCAGAACGGAAAAGGAGCCGGAACCGTAAGGTTCTGTTTTATTCAAGAAAAAAAAATAGACAAAAAAGAAAAAAAAGAAAGATAAACAGCAAATGCCTGAACCGACGGAGGTGCAAAACGGATGAAAACGACGTGGGGCATTTGTTTTCCTTTCTTTCATTTTCTCCCAGATTTTGTCGTCAAGCTGTGGCCACAATGGGATGACCGTTGTGCCAAGATATTCACTGTCATCCATGCCCGTCCTGAACACAGACACATGCAAAGAAAAATGCTGCACATGAACCAGTGCTCAGAAAAGCCGCCCTCCTGCATTCCACAGCGTAGATCTACAGGATCCCATGGGCATGCACACCACTTCAATGGGATATCGGCATGGAGTGTACGATGAACCGACCCGTACAGCAGATCTGTTTTGAGGGGTTAGGATTGCCGCTTGTTGTATCTGGGTCTTCTCTTCTTCCCCTTCATTGTATGCCTTGACTTCTTCTTCATCCTTTTCATCCCCTCATCATTCATCCTTTTTCCCATGATCCTCAGATCCTGTGTGAGCAAGGAGTCGTCTTTCTTTCATCCATGTCACCTTCCTTACAATCTCAATATTTGTGACCAGTGCATAGTCACGTGCTGTTTTCCATGAGTCAGATTGGTTGATTTGACTTCTGTTGTGCTGTATTGCTGTTTCTCTCCACTCTGGTGAATCTTGGGTCTGCTCTGCACCAAAAGGCAACTGAAAGAATCATTTTAACCATGGCTACTATCCAGACGTCCGGACTGCCGTCCAGACGGTCTGGATTCAGTCTGGACTCCAGACGTCCGGGTTTGCCAAATTTCAGGGGATTTTATTTTTTTTTAAATGGTCCAGGACCCTTCCCCACTGAAGAGCCAAGCCCCCAAAATTGTTTTGGGGGTTTTTCAGGCCCCTTTTTTTTTGGGGGGGGTTCCGGACACGGTCTATCTCTATAATAATTTATTAGACATACCCATTTTTTCAATTATTAACTGGGTTAGGCCGACGCCCGGTCCAGACGGACCGGGCCAGACGGAGGGGGGGGGGTCCTTCCGGCAAAACCAGACGAGCCAAAAAACGTCCCAGGATTTTGTTTTTTTTTTGTTTTTGAAGATGGGGTTGGACTGCGCCCGCTGAGAGGAGCCCAAATCCGCAGAGAAACTTGTGAAAGGCATGTGTGTTGGGGAAGGGGGTTGTGGGGAGGGGGGAGTTGTCAAGGGGTAAAACCGTAAAAGGGTGTGTTGCAGCAGCCAGTTCGCTGAGAGGAGGGGTTAGAGGAGGAGGAGGACCTGCCGGTAAAAGGGTGTGTTGCAGCAGCCAGTCCGCTGAGAGGAGGGGTTAGAGGAGGAGGAGGACCTGCAGGTAGTGTATGGGGATGACGGAAAAAGAAAATAATAATAAGAGGACGATGAAGGAGGACGAGGAGGAGGAGGAGGAGGAGAGAAGAGAAGAAGAACTGCAGTCCGCCCGCTTCCCTTCTATTGTTCGAGCAGAAAAGAAAAAGGAGGAATGGGAGATGGCGGGCAGTAGGATATGGTGGAGGAGCAGGAGGAGGAGGAGGAAGAAGAAGAAGAAGACGAGAGGAGGAGGAGGAGGAGGGGAGGAAGGAGGAGGAAAGGAGGAGGAGAAAGAAGAAGCAGACTTGAAAAGAAAAAGACGAGAGTAGGAGGCGGAGGAGGAGGAGGAGAGAAGAACAAGGAGGAGGAGGAGGAGGAGGAGCTGCCAGTTCTGTGTGGCGATGACGAGAAACAAAAAAGACCGCTGGAGGAGGAGGAGGAGAGAAGAGAAGAGAAGAGAAGAAGACGAAATGAGGAGGAAGAGGAGGAGGAAGAGGAGGCGGAAAAGAAGAAGACGAGAGGAGGAGGAGGAGGAGGAGGAGGAGGAGGAGGAGCTGCCAATTGTCTGACGATGACGAGGGGAAAAAAAAAAAAAAGGCCGATGGAGGAGGAGGAGGAGGGAAAGCAAGAAGACGAAATGAGGAGGAGAGAAGAAGAAGAAGACGAGAGGTGGAGGAGGAGGAGGAGAGAAGAAGAAGAAGGCAAAATGAGGAGGATGAAGAAGAGGAGTGAAGAAGAAGACGACAACAGGAGGAGTGCAGGAGGAGCAGAGAAAAAGAAAAAGACGAGAGGAGGAGGAGGAGGAGGAGGAGGAGCTGCCCATTGTCTGGCGATGACGAGGAAAAAAAAATATGCCGATGGAGGAGGAGGAGGGAAAACAAGAAGACGAAATGAGGAAGAGGAGCAGGAGAGAAGAAGAAGAAGACGAGAGGAGGAGGAGGAGAGAAGAGAAGACAAAATGAGGAGGAAGAGGAGGAGAGGAGGAGAAWAAGACCAGAGGAGGAGGAGGAGGAGCTGCCGGTTTTGTCTTGCAATGACGAGGGGAAAAAAAAAAAAAGGCCGATGGAGGACGAGGAGGAGGAGGAGGAAGGGAGAAAAGAAGAAGATGAAATGAGGAGGAGGAGAGAAAAGAAGATGAAATGAGGAGGAGGAGGGGAAGGAAGAGGAGGAGGAGGAGGAGGAGGAGGAGGAGGAGGAGTGAAGAAGAAGAAGAAGACGAGAGGAGGAGGAGGTTGGCTGCACGCGAGGAGGAGGTGGAGGCCGGCACCTCGACCATGGGTAGATAGAGGACTACATGGCAGGTCGACGGCGGGTGGCGCGATGAGAGCTCCGCACGAGGAGGAGGAGGAGGTCGGCACCTCGATGATGGGCAGGTTGATGACGTTGTGGTAGCTCGACGACGGACAGCACGATGCGAGCTCCGCGCGAGGAGGAGGAGGAGGTCGTCTCGGCGTGGAGGGCACCTGGATGACGACGGGGCAGGGGCAGCTCGATGACAATGGGCCAGGGGCAGGTTGATGGCGACGGGGAGGTCGATGACGATGGGCAGGTCGATGATGACGGCTGGGCTTCGAACTTCGTCGGCGGGAAGGACAATCCCGCGTTCGAATTTGAATGCGGGATCGTAGCCCTAAAAACTTCGAAAGTGGCTGAAAGTCGTTAAGAAAAAATAAATTCAAGCACTAGGCGGCTGGGGAGGCCGCCACTGGCCGAAAAAAGCCTGCCCCCCACCGCGCGCGAAATTGCGCTGGGCCCGCCCGGCGCCCAACCGGGTGACCCAACCGGCCGGGCCGCCCGGGAGCCCTACTGGACGAAGGCCAGGCTGCCGGGCGGTCCGGATTTTAACACAGATTATTAATAACTCGTTACTTTTTAATGCGAGGCCAGTGCCTCTATGAGCCCCATAAGGCCCCATCTTGCAGCCCGTCGGCCGCCCTAGGTGAAGGCAGGCTCGACGAGGCCCTCACGGCCCTTTTCTGGCCACCACGCAACTCAGGGAAATTCAGGCAGTTGCGCAGCACCAGTTGGTTGAGTGAACCCAGGCCCTGGGCCGCCTGTGTGAATGTATGTGAAGCAGGCCCTGGGCTGGATACGGGTACCGGGCCAAACACAGGCCGAAGGCAGTTGGGCACATGCAACCACTTCAGGCCCAAGGCCTGTTCTCGTCGTGCTGGGCCTCAGGCTACCGGGGCCTACTGGAAGCTTCCTGGGACTGGACGCAGGCAGGCCACTTCGATATAGGGAAGGGCCTGCCTCCTCATTCGGCATTCGGGTGCTGGCTGCATGCTGCGCAAGCGCTGCTGCTGCGCTATTTGCTGGCTGGCGCCTACGCTCTCACGGGCGAGCAGGGAAGGAGCACGCAGCCATAGCCGAGCTGCGCTGCTGTAAGCTGGGTGAGGCGCAGGGTGGTCCTTGGGTGCTAGTGGCATCTGTGAGTTGGGGAACGAGGTTGTGAGTGTAGTGCGAGACATACCTGGTGTTGGAAGCGTGCAACATTGGTCGCCATATGCTCGTACTTCGGGAATGCTGTTGACGTCATCTTTCGGCTTCGTAGTATAGGCTAGATAGGATCTGCCACATGTAGTCTGGGCGCCGAGCGCCAGATAGGATATCAACTCTGGTTCTTCGTTGATGATGATGGGACTATTTCAGCATTGTCAATTATGAACTCTTGGTGTGTTCTTATTTGGTGAATCTCGTGATGCAATTCTGCTGTTGGCTCGAGGTCAAGACTATCTGGACTCGTATGTATGATGCTGTTTGATTGCTGAAGTTCGCTATTGCTCATCTTCCTTGCATTTCTTTTAAAGTTTTTTTATAGTTTTTGACTTTTAACTCAAGTTTGGTTTGGAATTCTGACATGACTCTGAGGCAAAAGTGGTTTGCATTGTTATTCTGCATAACATACTTTCTAAAGTTTTTTTGCGGAGTTTTTTTTTTTTTTTAATTGTCCGGACATTTCCGGGCCCGCTTACCGGTACGGACCGTCCAAAACCATGCATGTCCGGAAGTCCAGATGTGTCCTGAAGTCCGGACGTCCGGACCCGACCGCACATGCTTCCGGTCCCCGGACATGAGCTGTCCGGGTCCGGGTCCGGGTCCGGGTCCGGGTCTGGCGTAGCCATGATTTTAACTCTCTGGCATGACCGCTCATCATGTTTCCACTTGTTGAGTTGCTTTTACATAGGGCTGCTTGAGATTGCAATCACCTGCTCAATGGCAACCAATACCCATGTATACGTTTTTCAGCACTGGGATCAGTGAAAGGGAAGACCAAGTTGGAACGATCTCCCTGCCAGAATGTATTTATCACAAACATGTAGCTCTTAGGAGGTAGCAAATTGACTCTTGCTGCATGTTGTATTGTCTACCAATTGAAGTTTAGGCAAGAGAAAAGATGGCAAGCTTGCAAGAAAAAGTACGAGTGCTGCAGAGGGACTTGCAGTCACGGGCAACTTCCAGTGAGGCACTAGAAGTTGAACGCGAAAGGATGGTTGGTGAAATGGGGATTCAGAGACAGAGATTAGAGGCAAGGTCTGTTGTTGCTCCTCTTCCTCCTCCTCCGTCAATTCCTCCTTAACCCCCTCTGCAAGATCTGAGTGCTGTGGCTTGTAGAAGCAACACAATATTTTCACATGGAAAACAATGAGCAATAGGCGTACCAATCCAGAGCTCAACCCCCGGACTTGGCTATCCAAGCAAGCATTGATGCTCGCACCCTCACCCCAACAATCCCAATCTTACCTTTACGATTTGACACTGAGAAAGGTGGGTGGCAGATTGCAGGGGGGCCCACTTTGGCCATTCTCACCGCCCAGGACTGAGATCAACCAGCCCATTTTCTGAGGGCTAACATCTCAGACCAACGTCCCCAGGCCACACACAGGGCCGATGAGAGGCTGAAGGTAAAATGGGAAGGGGAAAATGGAACATCGCAGAGCAGGGCCATGAGGCCCTACATGGCCATCTATGACTATCTGGTATAGCTGAGGGAGGGACCGGAGTGGAAATCGTGGGAACTGATCTGTGAAATCCCCCGCTCACTGTTGGGCCACAGGGATGAAGTAGACAGGATGGCCCCCACTTTGGCCATTGTCACCGCCCAGGAATGAGATCAACCAGCCCATTTTCTGAGGGCAAACATCTTAGACCAACGCCCCCAGGCCATGTACAGGGCCGATGAGAGGCTGAAGGTTAGATGGGAAGGGGAAAATGGAGCATCACAGAGCAGGGCCATGAGGCCCTACATGGTCATCCATGACTGTCTGGTACAGCTGAGGGAGGGACTGGAGTGGAAATCGTGGGAACTGATCTGCAAAATCCCCGACTCACTGTTGGGCCACAGGGATGAAGTAGACAGGATCGCACACAGCATGGCCTCTTTCATAACGGACTGATGGTTGGGGAGGAACATGGAGGAAGTGATTGACAGGGTAAAGGCGGAAAAGGCAAAGAAAGAAGAGAGGAGAACCAAGCAAGCCTCCACCTGAGTTCAAGTGTGTCTCTCCTCTAAGCGAACCGTCTAGATAAAATGGAGGTTTCCGAAAAGGAAGGCACAGTCAACAGGGCAAAGAAATTCAAACCAACCACAGAGGAAGACATACGAAGAGAAATCAGAAAATAACCAGGACCCCCATGTGTTTTTATCATGGAATGTGAACGGCCTCACCTCTATCCAAGACAATCCGGTTCAATGGAGAAATCTAACGGAGGCTAGGGGTTGGTTCGGCCCAAATCCATTGGACATAACCTATTTACAAGAAACTCACCTATCGGACAATGACGAGCACAAAAAAAATCAGATCAGTCCGAGAGAGAAAATTGAGGTACATGAAGGCAGCCTTTTGGGCCAATGCCACACCCCACGGATTGGTCGGCATTGTCATCCTCCACTACAAGTAACAATTTACAAGTACTAAACAATTGGCACGATTCTACATCAGGCAGATGGATCAGAATAGACATGAAACACAAGGAAGAACAGATAACAGTTTTGGGGATGTATGGTCCTAATGCGAGAATTGATTCAATTGAGCCCTCGTAAGGCACTTCTCGGGCACATAGGCAGGGCCCCAGCAAAACCCGCGCCCGCCCTAAGTGGAGGCGGACCTGCATAATCGTGTGAGGCCTACTTTTTCCATTTTTTTGTAAATGGGGTATCAGACAGTTGCAGCACGCCAGTTGGTTACAGAGCAACGTGAGCCTTCCCTGGCTCTTTCCAGAAGCAGCATCTGCGCCGTACAATTGTGCCCAGGGCTCATCCGGTTGAGGTCCTGGGCACACGCAGTCAGAGGCCGACAAGTCACTTAGCGGCCGCGGAACAATGAGAAAGCAGCTTCTTCATCACACACATGCCATGAGCCCGAACACTTGGAGCCTGGTGGACGGTCAAGCTTGGATGCTGCGGGCCCAGGCAACTGTCTGAAGGGACCCTGGATGCAGACATTTTGGGCCAACCTGAAGCTACTCGGGCCCCACACGCAGGCCCTGACTAGCCAGCAGCAGGGCTCACTTTCCATAAAGGAAAGTGAGCACCCAAGGGCAGGACATTCTGCCTTGGGCAGGCATTGCAGCCACGATGCTGCTTTGCCATGCGATAGCTGCGCTATCAGGCAGGCTGGAGGCGCGCATGGGCGCACGAGGTGAGAGGGGTGCTGTGGTGGCAGCGGGCGCACGACGGCCATAGCCGCGCTGCTCGTGCTGTTGCAGGTGATGGTGATGGTGGTCTTCGGGTAGGAGGCGCATGCAGATGGAAGTCAGGGGTGATGAGGAGAGGTGTGAGACACGTACCTGGTGTAGTCTGCACTGGCGTTGATGTCATGTACATTGGTCTTCAACCTCGATGTGTTCCTGTTGCACGAACGTAGATAGGATAGAGAGGCTAAGTAGAGTAGGCTGGGCGCTGGGCGCGGCTCAGTAGAAGCGACATTGGATACTACATTGGTGTGGCCAGAGAGCGTCGGCACTGACATTTGAGTTCATTATATTGCTCTTTTTTGGGTGGTATCTTGGTGCCTTGTGCTCTCTGCTTGGTACATGACTATCTGGACTTCAGCGTGATCTTGCAATTTGTATCTCTGTCTGTCGCTCTCGCTCATATTCCTTGCACTAACAACCTTCAGGAAGAAAAAAACCTTCCTCCACGCTATTGAGAACCTAATCCCCACTCATACTCATGTAGTCCTAATTGGAGACTGGAACTCCATTAAAGACATTTCCTTGGACATAATCTCTAATTCTGTAGACCTATCCCACCAATCAAACACATAGATCTAACATAATTCATCGCAAGAAAGAATCTAGTAGACCCATTCCGACTCTTACAACGAGAAAAAATTCTCCTGCACGAGGAAGACCACCCAAAACAAAACCTCACTTTCAAGACTTCTTCCTCGTCTTAGAATCCCTAATAGGTACCAGACTGTAGAGCAGAAGGATCAGCCTACCACATCGGACTCGACCACAAGGCTGTCACACTATTTCTTAGCTTCACAAAAACAGGACACTTGGGAAAGAGCTTTTACCATTTCACTCCACCTTTATTTGGGTGATTGTGTCCAAGCATATGTTCAGATAGCGGTTGCTCATAGCTGTTTTGTGTGTGTTATCTTTCGATGTGTTGATCTTTTCTATAAGCGGTAGCTGGATGTTGTCCCATGCATTTCATCAAATGTGATAATGTCTGGCTTCAACTAATATCATGATAATTGTTTTCTTTTATTTGTCCTTTTGATAGGCTGATTCGCAATATTGTTTACGCAACTATGATTCGTGAGTTGCCTTAGGGCAATATTCCTGTTCGTTTTCACCATTCCATCGTTAGCATAAATGCTCCAGAAATTCCATCATTACGGTCATGATTTGATCTCTTGAACTACATATCGACTCTTGAAATTCAGAAAATCTGAAGCCCTAAATTTTAACCTCTCAACCATGTTAACCGACCGGACGTCCGGACCGGTTTCCAGACACCCCCAAACATTATGTAGGGGTCCGGTGTCCGGTCTTGGACGTCCGGAACAGGGCCCCCCAATGAAAAATCCAAGAAAAAAAGGGGCCGCCAAGGACGTTTTTCGGGTCCTCAGTGGCCCCGGAAAAATACTGGGCCGATTTTTGTGCGTCGTTTCGCCCTACCGGACATAGGTCGAAGGCCGGACCCACCACAGTCTGTGCAGACTCAGGTGGGGTGGTGGGAGGCAGGGCCAGCACTTTCAAACTGGCCGTTTTCGAATCTCGCAGGCGCGCTGTTCGGAAGCCGCCAGCTGCTGCCCGTCACGTCCCCCCTGCAGCCCCGCAGCCATCCACGAGGAAGGGGCCATAGCCAACGAAACAGCCAGCCGCCGCCAACGTCCAAGAAGCAGCCAGCTGCCTCCAACATCCAGCCCTCGCCGACGAACAACCCAGCCAACGCCATCGTCCAAGAAGCAGGTCAGTCTCTCTCTCTCTCTCTCTCTCTCTCTCTCTCTCTCTCTCTCTCTCTCTCTCTCTCTCTCT